CATTCACCGTCCGTTCCTGCCGAGATGCACAGCACACTCCTAACGCCGTCGGCTTTTTTCCCCCCTTCTATGGGACAAGCAATCATTAAAAGCAGGAGGATTATTTTACTGGGGGCAGAGGGGACTCTGCCTTCTACTGCTTCCCTTGGACATGTTGCAGCTTGAATCAGAGCAGCAGCTCACAAGACGGGATTCCTGCATCTCCCCGTGCTCCAGCACAAAGCAGCAGCTTGCGCAGCCCTGAAGCACCCACCAGCAGCGCTTGCCGGTCTCAGCAGTGCTCTCCTCCGTGGATGAAGAGCAGAGCTGGGCAGGAGCCCGAGCCACCCAGCATCCAAGTCCTTCCTCTGCCAGACTCTGCTGACTCGCACAGGGGACTTCTTAAGCCCTGGCTGTGATTGCCCTAAAGCTGCTGCCCTGAGCAAAGCCCTCCTGCCCCGAGCAGCCCAGCACCCACGGGTGCTGAGCTTTTCGCAGCAAACCTGCTCTGCCGTTGGGATGGCAGGAGCATGGGATGCTACAGGCATTTCAAGTCACTGGGATGAATGCACATCGGGAAAGCATGGCCTGGTGCTCATCCACGAGTCCGCGACACGGGGGAAGCCTGTGAGCAGCAGCTTTCGGGGCATGCACAGAGGATCTGTTTTCACTCCAGTTTCCCCAGCACTGCTCAGGTCCCTGGACCTGTGGCCCATGTGTGTGTCCCCGTTCCTGGAAAACAGCACAAATCAGCCTCTCCCGAGTGACCCTCCAGGCTGAGCCAGCCAGCTGCCTCCGACCTGCTCCCTGCAGCTCAGGGGGGCAGCGACGAAACACCACCTCCAGGCACACAGCCCCTTCCTCTAGCTGCGCGAGGAATTTTCCATCAGGAGAAGACACGCTTTCCTCCAGCCAGCTAAAACGAGCGCTACCATCCTCCCCGGTTACTAACACCCCCGCTCCATATTTCTCCTAAGATCCAGCCCACAAGCGACGTTTAGCAGCTCAGCAGCAATTTATCCGCCAACGCAACCACCGCGTTGACACCAGCACCATCTCCTTCTGGACTCCGCGGTTCTGCTTGGCCTGCTGCCTTCCCTGCTGGGGCTTCCCACAAAGCCGAGGTCTGACCTCCCTGCCATCCCGGTCCCAGCCCTCCGCAGCGGGGACGGGGCTGCGGCGGTTGGGTCGCGTCCTGCTCTCGCCTCTGTGACCCGGCCCGGACCCTGGGGTGGGTCCCAAAAACATCTGGGACAGGCTGGCAGGGCTCTGTCCCCACCTCTGCACTAGGGTTGTGCGCTGGGATCTTTGCAAGAGTCAGGGAAAGCTTGTGCTACCAGGCAAACGTGAGCCTGTGGAGCGCAGCTGACTTAAATTCCCCCTTGGATCAAGGAGTGACAACCTCTCCACTCCTCCAAGGCTCCTCTTAGGAACGTTAATGGAAACGTTAAAATCCCTGTATAAATAGTGATCTTTGAGAGTGTAAACAGAATAACAGATTGAACGTGCCATTATTGATTTTTTTTTCCCTTCACACACATGCCAGGGTCAGGAAGTGTTTTCACTATTGATCCATCAATAATGCTCAGGAAACCCAAAATGCAAAACAGGACCTTGTCTAAGGAAAACGCTGCTGCACTGTTGAGCATCAGTGCTTCCCAGAGGATGGGGAAAGGCGAGCTGGATGGGAATATGGCACATCCCCCCCTTCCCTTGACCCGTGCTTACGCAGCAGCTCCCTGGTCCTGCTCTGGGGTCTCTAAGCTGTACCCTGAGCTCTAGCAGGCGAACACGCAGCAGGGGAGCAGCGCTGCTGGCCCAGGCAGGAGCAAATCTAAGCTCAGACGTGCCACTCGAAGTGTCAGCGAATCCCTCTGAGCAGATAATTTGCAGCAAACAGCCACCCTCAGCAAACGGCTTCACCGTGCGGTAGCGAAGTGTCTGTAAGGTTGTTATCCGAACTTAACTCAATTAACTACCGTTTTCACCGGTTTACACTCCCGAGCGATAAACAACATTGGAAATTCAATCCGTGCTGTTTGCTGTTAAGTGACCAAATAAATCACCCTGCCGGGAGAGCAGCAAACCCTCACGGACGAACCCTTGCGAGGCTCAGTGTCCATCTCCGCAAGCACCCAGGGCTGCCAACACCCCAAGGCAGGAAAGCTGCCCTGACCCCACAGTCACAGAGAGAGCAAGAGGAGGGAGAAGGGGCACCAACAAAAAGCCCAAATAAAGCCTCAAAAAGATTCCAGAACCCCCCCAGAAGTTTCTAGAAAATGTTGTCCGCAAGAGCTCACCATCCTAGCTGCCTCAGTCAGTCCTACCTGGGCTACCGCCTCGGCTGGATGGGCCAGCTGGAGGACCTGAGCATGAACCAGGACATGGCCGACAGCAGAAGGGGCTAATGGTCCAAGAGCAAACTCTGTTTTTTCTGGAGCCCTGAGTGGTTTGGGAGCTGCAGGAGGATCATCGCAGCTTCCCTGGTGCTGGTGGAGTCAGCCGGGGCTGGGCAGCTCCAGCACAGCCGGCTGCAGAGGGGCTGTGGGGCCCAGGGTGGTTTCGTTTAAAGAACTATCCCTGGGAAGGTACTGCTACAGCCAGACTGAAATCCCTGGTCCTGCTGCCGTTCCCTCTCCCGATCACCCACAGCTCCTCCTCATCTTCAAGAGATGGACTGAAGGCTACGGATGCAGCACGCGGATCCCTCCTGGGGCACCACCTCCTCTCGGCATGCCCGCCTCTGCCTGCAGCGGGGGAGCAGGGAGAAAAGCCGTCCGCAGGGCAGAGCTGGCGGGCGGCGCGGGGCTGCCGGGGCGTTGCTGTGTGACCGTGGTCAACCAGGCGCTCCTGGGCCGCTTCTCCATCCTTTCTCATCCCACCTGCCGACGGACCGCCACTCCCGAGGTGTCTGTACGGACCCCGGGTGGTAAAGCTCCAGGCATTAGGTACTGCTAACACAGAGCGCACCAAGTCGTTACGACCTCCCCCCTTTCTGTCCCCCCCAAGCTTTCAGGGTGAAATTCCAGCGGGTGAGGACAAGGTCCGGCCTTCCCTGCCGCCACCCGCCAGCGCCGCTGCCTCCCCCGTGACCAGCGCGGGGCGAGGAGAAGGACCGCGGACGCGGTGCGGAAAGCAACGGCACGACTCGCCTCAGCCTGTCCGGCCCCCGAACCAAAAAATGAGAAACCAGGCTCTGCCCTCTCCCGGGGGGCTGCACCTGCCGCCCGGCAGCTCCGGGGGTCTCAGGGCACCGCTCGCTGCACGCTCGCAGCTAAACCCCTCGAGCGTCCAGGCTTACGCGGAGGTTCGCTTTCCTCCCTGAGGGCACTCATAGAGGACGTACGGGGCCACCGAGGGCAGGACGGAACCGCAGGGGGACATACAGGGCAGGCGGGG